GGGCCTAACAGTGCTTTCCTGCAGAAAACCAGAGCTTTCCCGCAGCTTTCCCAGCTTTCTGTGCCCCCCGCTCGCTGCCGGCTCTCCTGCCGTCCCATAGCTGTCACCCACTTGCCATGCCAGTCTCTGGAGCCCCTTTGGAGCAACTGGAGGCTGGTTTTATTGCCACTGCAGCCTTCTGCATTGAATAAAGATTAACCAAAGAAAATATCTCATTTTTAAAGACATAAGGGCAATAAAACCCAGCTCAGGGCTGGCTGCGTTTCCTCACCTGCCAAAGGCCACCCTACCCTGCAAAACAGGAAAGCTCCCACGTTGGCCATGGCATTTGGGAAGTCTCCAGCCCCCCGAAAGCAAAAGCTTCCCATTGCTCATCTTCGAACAGAAGTAGCCAGAGAGAAAGGACTGGAGACGTGGCCCCCACACCGCTGGGAATGCCAAGCTCACCTTGCACAATCACAGCTCCCCAGCAAGAGCTGGGGTCACCAGCCTGGCAATGCACTCGGGGGTCTCCAGCCCCTTCCACACCTACTCCAGCATGCAGATGCAAGGAGGGACAGGACAAGCGAAGAGCAGGAAAAAGGAATGACGTTTTTGGGGAAAAAAGTCCTTGCACCAGAAGGAACCACCCTTCACACCCTGCAAGGATGGGTTGCTGGGTCCCTTCTGGTCAGTCAAAACTTTCTGAAGCTTTGCTAGTGATCGGGCAGGCCCCAGAGGCTGTGCCAAGGAAGAATCCAGTGAGAGGCAGGATTGGGAGGCAAAAATTAGATGGGAAAGGGATTGGCAATGATGATGGAGCTGGGATTGGTCCCAGTTTTCCCACCATAAAAGCCTCACTCCCAATTCACTGCTGGAAGCATCTCTTGCATATGAATTTAAACCAAGAAAGTTATAAAGAAAGCACCAGAAATAGAGGGGAAGAATAAATAAATTAAAAAAGGACGAGCTCAGCCAGCCCATCCTGGGCCAATAACATGCTCTCGTGTGTTTAGCACAGAAAAGTTTAGATTAGCATCATGGTAACTACTCTGGTTGTATCATCTCACCCACTTTTAAAAAGGGTAAAATAGAGGACCCTAGAAACTACCGACAAGTCAGTCTGACTAATCTGGTAGCCTTCTACGATGGAGTGACTGTGTTGGTGGATGAGGGATGAGCAACTGATGTCACCTACCTGCGTTCAGCTCTGGAGTCCCCAACACAAGAAGGACATGGAGCTGCTGGAGTGGGTCCAGAGGAGGGCCACAAAGATGATCCGAGGGCTGGAACACCTCTGCTATGAAGACAGGCTGAGAGAGTTGGGGCTGTTCAGCCTGGAGAAGAGAAGGCTTTGGGGAGACCTTCTAGCAGCCTTCCAGTACCTGAAAGGGGCCTACAGGAAAGCTGGAGAGAGACTTTTTACAAGGGCATGTAGTAACAGGACAAGGGGCAATGGCTTTAAAGTGAAAGAGGGGAGATTTAGATTAGATAAAAGGAAGACATTTTTCACTCAGAGGGTGGTGAGGCAGTGGGACAGGTTGCCCAGAGAAGTTGTGTCTGCCCCATCCCTGGAAGTGTTCAAGGCCAGGTTGGATGAGGCTTTGGGCAACCTGGTGTAGTGGAGGATTTCCCTGCCCATGGCAGGGGGGTTGGAACTAGATGATCTTTGAGGTCCCTTCCAACCCTAACCATTCTATGATTCTATGAATTCTGTAAGATCTTTGATACAGTCCCACACAACATCCTTGTTGCTCAATTGGAGGCAGATGGGTTTGATGGATGGACTATTCGATGAACAAGGAATTGACTGGATGGTTGCATACAAAGAGTTGCAGTCAAGGGCGCAGTGTTCAAATGGAGATCAGTAACAAGTGGTGTCCCTCAGGGGTCTGTACTGGGACCAGTACTGTTTAATATCTTTATTAATGACATAGGCAGTGGGATGTTCAGGCAGTTTGCAGATGACACCAAGCTGAGTGGTGTGGTTGACATGCCTGAGGGATGGGATGCCATCCAGAGGGACCTGGACAAGCTCAAGAAGAGGGCTCAAATGAAGTTCAATAAGGCCAAGCGCAAGGCCCTGCACATGGGTCAGGGCAAGCCCTGGTACCAATACAGGCTGCGGAATGAAGGGATTGAGAGCAGCCCTGCAGAGGAGGACTTGGGGTACTGGTGGACATGAGCTGGCAATGTGTGCTCACAGCCCGGAAGACCTACAGTATCCTGGGCTGCATCAAAAGAAGCATGGCCAGCAGGTCAAGGGAGGTGATTCTGCCCCTCTACTCTGCTCTCGTGAGACCCTACCTGGAATACTGCGTTCAGCTCTGGAGTCCCCAACACAAGAAGGACATGGAGCTGCTGGAGCGAGTCCAGAGGAGGGCCACGAAGATGACCCGAGGACTGGAACACCTCTGCTATGAAGACAGGCTGAGAGAGTCGGGGCTGTTTAGCCTGGAGAAGAGAAAGCTTTGGGAAGACCTTCTAGCAGCCTTCCAGTACCTAAAGGGGGCCTCCAAGAAAGCTGGAGAGGGTCTTTTTACAAGGGCATGTAGTGATAGGACAAGGGGCAATGGATGTAAACTGAAAGAGAGTAGATTTAGATTAGACATAAGGAAGAAATTTTTTATATTGAGGGTAGTGAGGCACTGGAACAGGTTGCCCAGAGAAGTTGTGGATGCCTCATCCCTGGAAGTGTTCAAGGCCAGGTTGGATGAGGCTTTGAGCAACCTGATCTAGTGGAAGATGTCCCTGGCCATGGCAGGGGGCTTGGAACTAGATGATCTTTGAGGTCCCTTACAACTCAAACCATTCTATGGTGCTGCTGGAGCAGGTCCAGAGGAATGGCGCAAAAATAATCAGAGGGATGAAGCATCTCTTCTATGAGGAAAGGCTGAGACACTTGGGACTGGCCAGGAAAGTGATGGAGTCACCATCCCTGGAGATATTCAAAAGACATGTAGATGTGGTGGTGCTTAGGCACATGGTTTAGTGGGGACTTGGCAGTGTTAGTTTAACTGTTGGACTCGATGACATTCAAAGTCTCTTCCAACCTAAATGATTCTGTGATCCTATCTTTGTATCAGAATTGTATGGGCAGACTGAAACATGACAACGCAGTAGGTATTGCAGATATCTGTGCATTTAGCAAGTACGAAAGTAATTAAAATTTTACGTGGCAAGGAGGGGCTTTGTGTGCATGTATGTGTTGGGTATCTATCCTACTTTCAGGTTGTACTCGCTGGACACACTACAATCTACTAACTCATTTCAACAGTAGTAGTTGGTGTCACGTGATCTATTCTAACAAGATGCTCAGTTTACTCAATATCACAGTAACATGCAAAAGCTGCTACAAATTTCTCTAAAAAGGAGAAAAAAATCACCTTTCTTTTTTAACACTGTGGAACAGGCCACAGGCGTTTCGACGGTGACTGAAGCTGTATCTAAGATGTAGTCTGTGAATCCTGCTTCCCAGGAGAGCTGAAGCACAGCTCCCATCTGAGCAGTACGGCAGGGCTGTGCAGTCCCACCTCTGCTCACACAGGGTGTGCCGGTGCCACCGCACATCCCAGGAGGAGAGCCACCCTCCCCGCAGCATTCCTGTGCCCCA